GCCGAAATCAGACATTCAGGAACAAACTTTTTAGCGCTGCCCCGCAGTTTTATCAACTAAATAGTGTAATCGCTCTAGAGCTACATTATCTTTCTCAACAAGGAGCTGATAGCATCATTGTTTCTAAAGGAATTAAAGCCACAGCTTTACTGTTAATAGAAAAATGCAGCAAAACGGTGGGAATTCATACATACACAACCCCTCTCTCTCTCTCTCTCTCTCTCTCTCTCTCTCTCTCTCTCTCTCTCTCTGTGCGTGTCGTAAATGAACAGTTGATGAATTACACTTTTCTGAGAATAGAATATTGAAGTGGAGATTGATAAACTGCAAGCTAACCGCTGTTTTCAGAAAGCAAGCACGTTTTTCCACAGTGGAGAGAGAGCGCGCATGCACATGGTTGCCAGGTTGACAAAGATAAGTAGCACACTTCGTCAAATCTCTGTGACGATACATCGTCGTATCGATATTTTGAACACGGCACTAGTTTACAAGCCATTATTGACCTCTTTGTGCGGCTGAAACACTGATTGAGCGATTACATGAGACAGGATACAGCTTGTAAAGTTGTACTTTTTCTTTTAACTTACCTCCGGATGTTTATTCATGTTTATTTTGTGCTGAAGCTGGTATTAATGTGGAGAAGATGATCAGTTCACGTGCACCACACGCTGTCTGTTGAACTGAGGTGCTAAAGCGATCTGTCACTCCACATTAAACAGCGCCAAAACAGCGTTTATTGTTTGAATGCAATGGACAGAATTTGAGACTTTGTTTCATATTAAAAGTACCAAAACACAATGCTTATTGCGATTTATTGGATGGGAAATGCCCTTTCAACGTTCCGTCCATTAACTGAAAACTGGCTAGGCTAATCGATTCTTGGGATTTAAGAATCGATATTGTTCCGTAAAAATGAGAATCGATTAACCGATTATCGATTATATAAGTATTGGCCATGTTTTATGGACATAAATTGTAAAATATGCCATCTCTGGCAACTGTTTAGCAGTATATTTTTTGATCGTGCATGTTTGCTTTATATTATTCTTACCCCGGTTCTCTTTTGTTTCTGAATGGTACAGGACCTGATTGACGAGTGGAAGGCCAAAGAGACCAAAAGAGGCAACAATAACAAGACCATAGACCCCAGCTCTCTGAAATGGACCCCTCCCAAAGGAACCTAATGGACTTACATGTTACATTTCGTACTGCCGTTCTATCTTTTTTTATGACTCCATCAACAATGTCTTTTGCAATGGCTTTAGCTGTTAGTGTCATTTTTGTCTCTTTACGTGCCCCTTGTAACTCTGGAATCTCTCACTTTTGTTTTATACAGTGCTATTTTTTTTTCATATTCATATTTTTCTTTGGCCAAAGTATTGTCTATGCCCCAGAATGTATTTTAAAAGTACACATTTTTTTTTTAAAGCAAAAAGTAGTTTCTCAGTAGAATGTAGTAAAAAAAAAATGGGGCCTTACAAAAAAATTGATTTACACGTTATCTTCAACGTTTATTTCTTGATTTCTTTGTGTTGAAAGATTTGTGCAAAGGATTTCATTTAAATCAGAACTGGGAAAAAAAACTAATGTTTGATACTTTTATTACATCACATTTGATACCTGAAGCAAGACATTTACTTGCTTAAAAATACTCCCAAATGATGTTCTTTTGAATTATAATGTTTGTGCCAGTTAAGAGTCAAGAATAAGTGTATATTGATTCACGAAGGCTGGTGGAGTCTGTAATCGAGTGCTGGATAATGTCATCAGTAGTACTGCAGTCCGTTCCATTCCTCTCGCACATCTGCTGTGTGAAAAACAACACAATTTCACTAATTTTAGTAATAAAAAAACTTGAATTATGCAAGAACAACTGAAATAGTGCACTAGAAGATTAAATATTTTGACAATGATTGGGTTTAATTTTAAAATTTTAACACTTATTTTTTAGGTTTATATTTTATTTCAAATTAGACACCACTGTATTTTGTGGTAATAATCAAGTATTAGTAACTACAATGCAACAAATGTAAAACTAAACAATGTAAATTCTTGTAGGTGTACCCTAGAGCCAACAAAACCAAATCTTAAATCTTACCGGAGCGTTTTCCCATTAGTCCATAGAACTGATGAGATTTCGATCTTTTGAGTAGACTGGCCACTTGGCTGGCTAGTGTCTCGTCCACTGGTTCATCCTGTTAAACAACCAAAGCATTTTTTATGGATGTGAATATGACATTGTATATTTTGGTTTTACGCTGGAAAAAAATAACTAATTTTAGAATTCCAGTACCAGTATTTGTAGTGGACAAAAACCCATTAATTTACTTATTAATCATAACCTTTATGATTCCTTATAATAATAAATAAATAAAATAAAAAATCACTCACCTCCCAGTTATCTGAAATCCAGTGGTCTCTGTTGAGAGTGAAAGACAATCCTTGAACACTACAGGCAAGAGCAAGTATGGTGAGCATTAACGCTGAGAGTTTCCAAATCTCCATAAGGAACAAAAGTGTGTAAATAAAATACTGAAAATAAGCTTAAAAGATAAATCTCGGCTAAGAGATTTTTTTCCCCGTCTGTACAGTCTATCCAGCCAGCAAGAGGGTCTTCTGAAATCACAGATCTTTTCTGTTCTTTCACATAGTGGCGGCTGCATTTATAGCCATACGGCTGCCAACCCCCTCCCAGCTCTCAGATCTCAAAACCACCCTCGTCATAATCAATTCACTTAATGCATTTATTGCAAAATAACCACCAATTGACTTGAGTGATCATTGACTCCATTTGTTGTAGGTTTCCAAGATTTTGATTAATCGACCCATCACACATCAATGAAGATGCAAAATAATTCATGAAACAATGTTTTATTTTTGATGTGTTATTTAATCCATTATTAAGCCCTTTTATGGAAGATCGGTAGATTAGAATCGTGGATATAATGTAAGAATACAAACAAATTATGAATTCGGTGAGTACTTACGGCACTAGCAGTAAATCAAACTCACATAGCTATATGTTTGGAATGACATTAGCAAATATTTGACCTCCTTTTCTTTG